AGAATCAGCGGAGATTGTGAAACCAAACGAACACTATCTTCTCGATCTGAAGAGGTTCGGGCAGCGAACTGAACTGAGAGTTAATGGCAAGAAAGTTCCAGTTCGGGGCAAACTTGCTCCGTTTATGGCTGGCACTAATCTATTCATTGGAGGAATAGCCCCTGGAATTGTCGTGAACCCACGAATTGGCGGCGCTTCACCGTTCAGCGGATGCATTTCAAAGGTGGATTCGTTTATAATCCCATTCTTCTACGTGCTTGCTCTTTCGCTGCAATCAGTAATCATAGTCGTTCCGTGCAAGAGAAATTTTGGGTTCACTGTTTTCACAGTAACAACTTACATTGTTTTACTATGCGTTAAATGCACAAACCCAGCCTTATAATTCCATTGCTCCTATATCGTAGCTAGTTCTCACAGTAATTTGCCCTTGAAATCTGAAAAGATGATAATTTTCGTGAAGGATTATTTTGAAGCTTTGCAAATCATTAAAATGTTTCATTTTTTAATAAGAAAATCCGTCACTGTTTCTCTTCTTTCTTAAAGACACGTTCATCAAAGGATTGGCTTTATACTTGGTTTAGATAATACTCAATGGGAAAGAAGTAGATTTAACTGTGCTGCTGAACGAATCATCGAGCGGCATAACCGAATGTAAGCCGCGACAAGACGAACAGACCGAAGAAATTCACCCACCGTTTATCTGGACGACCACACCGTCTACCACACGAACTACTATTCTAGTTACTACTTCGCATTATCCACGAACTACGTCTGCGTGGGAAACAGTGAGAATGGAAACAGGTGCGAAAGAAGAGGAGGAACTAGAAAAGCCAGTTTCAGAAGGTGTTGAAACAACGACAAAATGCACTGGAGATGGTATGTTTTATAAGAGAATGATAAAGCTGTCAATTTCGCAGATTCTGAAAGGATAGCTAATGCCTGTACTAAAAGAAATTTTTGGGTAATGGCGTCTTTACGTCTGTTTCGCTTCATTTATTCTCATGTTTTAATATATAA